ATGACGGTGCAGAATCCAGGGGCGGAGCTAGATGGGGGGCCAGTGGTGGCCATGGCTACCCTTAGCCAATCTTTTGTTTTTTTTTTCTTACAATTCTTTCCCTCTAATTCAGACGACGGCAGCAGTAATACTCTCAAGTGGAATGTTTTAACTTATTTAACATTTTAATTTTCTATATGTAAACAATTACCTGACAATAAAAACGCTGTGTTTAATTATGCACATCAAAATACTAACATTAAAGATGATAAATACAGAATTCATGCTATTTTCAGAACTAGATCTTGTCTTTTATTGGGTAAAGAGAAAATCATCTAGGAATCTTCAATGAAATCAGAGATAAAGAACTATTTTAATAACAAGTAATCCATTTAATGTAGATATTAGAACACATAAATATTCATTTTATGCAGAATGATTATTAATAAAAGTAGGTAAATAATGACAATAAACAAGATGTTCTCCCCAGAACTCAAACCTGAAAGATTTTTTTCCACTACACCTTTAATTTAGACAGCATGGATGTTTAAATAAATGTGTCTTTTTGTTAGCAAAGGCGGTAAGGAAGTATAGTTTCTCTTTATTTAGAAAGTATAGATGTTGTGGTTGTTTATTTTCCTTTTGGAACAGTGTAGATTGACCCTGAGGCTCTGGTGCCTATCCGCTTTCGGCCACCCCCCCTGAGTGTATATTGGTTATTGCCTGGCCCTTATTAACATTTTCTGGCTACACCTCTGAGAATCACCTGTCCAACATCCGGTCTGGACTTCCAAAATAAGACAAAAACAGACCAATTTTCTCAATTCTTCATGGAGCAGTTGGTCCAGCTCTACAAACCTGGGTTCCCTTCATGGACTTCATCAGAGAAGAAGCCTGATGTTCACCTCATGGATCAGATGAATCGGTTCTTCACACCTTTGGAGAGGAAAGGAACATCCAGCCTTCTCAATCAAAAGCTCTTTTTCTACAAACGAAGCAGCGCATCTAGAATCCTGGATCTGGTAGATGAGGAAAGAACACAGATGGATCTCCGTCTCTAACCCCGTCCATCTTCTCAGGAACACTAAGAGACAGAACATCCTCCAGGATCTTCAGGCTGTCAGTCCTGGATCTAAAGTCACTTTTCTCCAGTCGGTTGAAGAAGGATCAACACCGAACATCTGAACATGTGTTTTCATTTATTCATCTTGGTTAAATTCCCAGGTTACCTGAGTCATGGTTTTTGGTTTAGTCTCTTGGAAGCGCCTGTGGCTAGAAGCTCAGCACCGGCTGCTGCAGGTGATGTTCCTCCTTCAGGAGCAGCTCAGGATCCACCAGGAGGATCTGGAGACGATTCCTTCTCCTGTTTACCAGCTTGATTCCAGATTTACATGGAAGGATGAACGGATGAATTAACAGATAAATGGATAGATAAGGATGGAAGAACTGACGAATGACAGGATTAATAAATAAAAATAGAAAAATTAGTGGAGGAAGAGATGGATGAATGCATGAAAGAGTGAACAGATGAATAAACACATTAATGAATAATAAAAAATAGACGGATTAGCAGAAAATAGAGAGATGGATCGATGTGTGGATAAACAGACAATTGGATGGATTAGGAGATGAATGAATGAACAGATGAATGAAGGGATGAATGAATGAACACATGAATAAATGAGCAGATAATGGATGAAGGCATGAATGAATGAACAGATGAATGAAGGGATGAATGAATGAACACATGAATAAATGAGCAGATAATGGATGAAGGCATGAATGAATGAACAGATGAATGAAGGGATGAATGAATGAACACATGAATAAATGAGCAGATAATGGATGAAGGCATGAATGAATGAACAGATGAATGAAGGGATGAATGAATGAACACATGAATAAATGAGCAGATAATGGATGAAGGCATGAATGAATGAACAGATGAATGAAGGGATGAATGAATGAACACATGAATAAATGAGCAGATAATGGATGAAGGCATGAATGAATGAACAGATGAATGAAGGGATGAATGAATGAACACATGAATAAATGAGCAGATAATGGATGAAGGCATGAATGAATGAACAGATGAATGAAGGGATGAATGAATGAACACATGAATAAATGAGCAGATAATGGATGAAGGCATGAATGAATGAACAGATGAATGAAGGGATGAATGAATGAACACATGAATAAATGAGCAGATAATGGATGAAGGCATGAATGAATGAACAGATGAATGAAGGGATGAATGAATGAACACATGAATAAATGAGCAGATAATGGATGAAGGCATGAATGAATGAACAGATGAATGAAGGGATGAATGAATGAACACATGAATAAATGAGCAGATAATGGATGAAGGCATGAATGAATGAACAGATGAATGAAGGGATGAATGAATGAACACATGAATAAATGAGCAGATAATGGATGAAGGCATGAATGAATGAACAGATGAATGAAGGGATGAATGAATGAACACATGAATAAATGAGCAGATAATGGATGAAGGCATGAATGAATGAACAGATGAATGAAGGGATGAATGAATGAACACATGAATAAATGAGCAGATAATGGATGAAGGCATGAATGAATGAACAGATGAATGAAGGGATGAATGAATGAACACATGAATAAATGAGCAGATAATGGATGAAGGCATGAATGAATGAACAGATGAATGAAGGGATGAATGAATGAACACATGAATAAATGAGCAGATAATGGATGAAGGCATGAATGAATGAACAGATGAATGAAGGGATGAATGAATGAACACATGAATAAATGAGCAGATAATGGATGAAGGCATGAATGAATGAACAGATGAATGAAGGGATGAATGAATGAACACATGAATAAATGAGCAGATAATGGATGAAGGCATGAATGAATGAACAGATGAATGAAGGGATGAATGAATGAACACATGAATAAATGAGCAGATAATGGATGAAGGCATGAATGAATGAACAGATGAATGAAGGGATGAATGAATGAACACATGAATAAATGAGCAGATAATGGATGAAGGCATGAATGAATGAACAGATGAATGAAGGGATGAATGAATGAACACATGAATAAATGAGCAGATAATGGATGAAGGCATGAATGAATGAACAGATGAATGAAGGGATGAATGAATGAACACATGAATAAATGAGCAGATAATGGATGAAGGCATGAATGAATGAACAGATGAATGAAGGGATGAATGAATGAACACATGAATAAATGAGCAGATAATGGATGAAGGCATGAATGAATGAACAGATGAATGAAGGGATGAATGAATGAACACATGAATAAATGAGCAGATAATGGATGAAGGCATGAATGAATGAACAGATGAATGAAGGGATGAATGAATGAACACATGAATAAATGAGCAGATAATGGATGAAGGCATGAATGAATGAACAGATGAATGAAGGGATGAATGAATGAACACATGAATAAATGAGCAGATAATGGATGAAGGCATGAATGAATGAACAGATGAATGAAGGGATGAATGAATGAACACATGAATAAATGAGCAGATAATGGATGAAGGCATGAATGAATGAACAGATGAATGAAGGGATGAATGAATGAACACATGAATAAATGAGCAGATAATGGATGAAGGCATGAATGAATGAACAGATGAATGAAGGGATGAATGAATGAACACATGAATAAATGAGCAGATAATGGATGAAGGCATGAATGAATGAACAGATGAATGAAGGGATGAATGAATGAACACATGAATAAATGAGCAGATAATGGATGAAGGCATGAATGAATGAACAGATGAATGAAGGGATGAATGAATGAACACATGAATAAATGAGCAGATAATGGATGAAGGCATGAATGAATGAACAGATGAATGAAGGGATGAATGAATGAACACATGAATAAATGAGCAGATAATGGATGAAGGCATGAATGAATGAACAGATGAATGAAGGGATGAATGAATGAACACATGAATAAATGAGCAGATAATGGATGAAGGCATGAATGAATGAACAGATGAATGAAGGGATGAATGAATGAACACATGAATAAATGAGCAGATAATGGATGAAGGCATGAATGAATGAACAGATGAATGGACCAGCAGATGAATGGATGAACAGATGATGGATCAACAGATGAATGAGTGAACATATGAATGAATTAGCGGATGAATAGATGAACAGATGAATGGATGAACAGATGATGGATCAACAGATGAATGAGTGAACATATGAATGAATTAGCGGATGAAT